GGGGGGCCGTCGACTTCGGAAGACGAGCTTGACGCTTAGAAGGACCGCGTGGGAAGGGACCCTTGAGGCCATCTAGTCCAGCCCCCTACTCAAGCAGGAGACCCTGACAGAATCACAGAGTGAGGAAGGGACCTGGGGGGGCATCTAGTCCAGCCCCCTGCTCGAGCAGGAAACCCTGACAGAATCACAGAGTGGGGAAGGGACCTGGGGGGGCATCTAGTCCAGCCCCCTGCTCGAACAGGAGGCCCTGACAGAATCACAGAGTGGGGAAGGGACCTCGGGCGGGCATCTAGTCCAGCCCCCTGCTCGAGCAGGAGCCCCCGACAGAATCACAGAGTGGGGAAGGGACCCTTGAGGCCATCTAGTCCAGCCCCCTGCTCGAGCAGGAGACCCTGACAGAATCACAGAGTGGGGAAGGGACCTCGGGGGGACATCTAGTCCAGCCCCCTGCTCGAGCAGGAGGCCCCAACAGAATCATAGAATTGGGAAGGCACCTGGGAGGTCATCTAGTCCAGCCCCCTGCTTTAGCAGGACACCCCCTACCCTTGTTGACTCTCTCTCTCTCCCCCCCGCCACCCCTCCTGCTCAGCTGCTCCGGAGCGCCTCCACTTCCCGCGGCCGCTTCTCTCCTCCCGGGCGCAACTTGGGCGCAAAGTTCCCGAAGAGTCAGCCCGGAGAGACCCGGTGCGGCAGTGGCTGATGGGCCAACGGCCAGGAGAGAGGGACGAGGGGGAGAGAGACGGCTGGTGGAGAGGGGGAGGGGGCGATGCTCCAATGAAAAGCATTCGTTCAAAAGCCATTCTACGATTCTGGAAGGGTCTCCGGCTTGAGCAGGGGGCTGGACTAGATGACCTCCGAGGTCCCTTCCAACTCTGTCATTCTATGATTCTGTAAGGGTCTTCGGCTTGAGCAGGGGGCTGGACTAGATGACCTCTGAGGTCCCTTCTATTACTCCTGTCACTCTATGATTCTGGAAGGGTCTCCGGCTTGAGCAGGGGGCTGGACTAGATGACCTCCGAGGTCCCTTCTATTACTACTGTCACTCTATGATTCTGGAAGGGTCTCCGGCTTCAGCAGGGGGCTGAACTAGATGACCTCCGAGGTCCCTTCTATTACTCCTGTTATTCTATGATTCTGGAAGGGTCTCCGGCTTGAGCAGGGGGTTGGACTAGATGACCTCCGAGGTCCCATCCAACTATGATTTTGTCAGGGTCTCCTGCTCGAGCAGGGGGCTGGACTAGATGACCTCCAAGATCCCTTCTATAGCTGTCATTCTAGAATTCTCTGAGGGTCTCCTGCTTGAGCAGGGGGTTGGACTAGACCTCCGAGGTCCCTTCTATTACTCCTGTCAATCTATGATTCTAGAAGGGTCTCTGGCTTGAGCAGGGGGTTGGACTAGATGACCTCCCAGGCCCTTTTCAACTCTTCTGTCCTGTCCTATTCTGTTCTGTTCTGTTCTGTTCCATTCTTTATTCTATTCCATTCTTCATTCTATTCTATTCTATTCTATTCTATTCTATTCTATTCTATTCTATTCTATTCTTTATTCTATTCTATTCCATTCTTTATTCTATTCTATTGTATTCTATTCCATTATTCATTCTATTCCATTCTTCATTCTATTCCATTTTTATTCTATTCTATTCTATTTCATAATTCATTCTATTCCATTCTTCATTCTATTCCATTCTTCATTCTATTCCATTCTTTATTCTATTCCCCTCTATTCTGTTCTATACTCTATTCTATATTCTATTCTATTCTATTCCATTCTTCATTCTATTCCACTCTTTATTCTATTCTATTCCATTCTTTATTCTATTCTGTTCTATATTCTATTCTATATTCTATTTTATGTTATATTCTATTCTATTCCATAATTCATTCTATTCCATTCTTTATTCTATTCTATTCTGTTCTATTCTGTTCTATATTCTATTCTATATTCTGTTTTATATTCTATTCTATTCTATAATTCATTCTATTCCATTCTTTATTCTATTCTATTCCATTCTTTATTCTATTCTATTCCACTCCATTCCCTTCTATTCTATTTTGTATTCTGTTATATTCTTTATTCTATTCTACTCTATAATATTCTATTCGGTTCTGTTCTTAATCCAATTCTATTTAATTTTATTCTGTTCTGTAATATTATATTCTTTATTCTATTCTATATTCTGTTCTATTCTATATTCTGTTCTACTCTATTCTATATTCTATTCTTAATTCTATTCTTAATTCTATCCTACCCTATCCTATCCTGTTCTGAGGCCCGGTGGGGCAGTGGATGATGGGCAGGCACGGGAGACAGGGCCGAGGGGCTGGTGCAACTATGGGGAGGACTGATGACGCGTTTGACGTCTCCCTCGGGCTCGGCCTGGTTATCTACTACGATGGATGGACGGATGGATGGATGGATGATAGATAAATCGTAGAAGAGAGAGAGAAATTATAGATGATACATAGAGATAGATGATAGATTGGATGGATGGATGGATGGATGGATGGATGGATGGATGGATGGATGGACGGACGGACGGACGGACGGACGGACGGACGGACGGATGTATTGCTAGATAAATAGATAGATAGATAGATAGATAGATAGATAGATAGATAGATGGATGGATGGATGGATGGATGGATGGATAGATTAGATGGATGGATGGATGGATGGATGAATAGATTGATTGATTAGATAGATAGATAGATAGACAGATAGATAGATAGATAGATAGATGATAGATAGATAGATAGATAGATAGATGATAGATAGATAGATGATAGATAGATAGATAGATAGATAGATAGATGATAGATAGATAGATAGATAGATAGATAGATAGATAGATAGATAGATAGATAGATAGATAGATAGATAGATAGATAGATAGATAGATAGATCAAGTGCCAGGAAAATCAGGAGATTCAGGCAGTTCAAATGAGTATCAAGATTAATTGCAAGCTTCGGTTCGCTAAAAGAACCTGACCTACTAACGGATCAATTGGAAATGAGCGGAAGATAGGAGAGGCATTCAAAGTGGGCTGAACTTAGATCTCTTGCGAGTGCAGAGGGATTCAGGACTGATGACGCATTTGATGCCTCCCTCAGGCACAGCCTGGTTCTCTCTTACTACAGATGGATGGATGGATGATAGATGATAATAGACAAATGATAGATAGAAAGACAGATAGATATAGATACAGATACAGATAGATTAGATAGATAGAGAGATAGAGAGATAGAGAGATAGAGAGATAGAGAGACAGAGACAGAGATTAGGTGATAGAGATAGATAGAGAAGATAAAGATTTAGTGCAAGTTTAAGCTCTCTACAAAAATCTGACCTACTAACGGTTAGGGGAAACGACTGGGAGATTAAAGACGGGCTGAATGTCGATCTCTTGTGAATGTGCAGGGACTCACGGCTGATAACCTGTTTGATGCCTCTCTTGGCGCCAGCCCGGTCGTCTACTCTCAACGCTGCTGACCGGACCCCTTCTTCTCTCCCCTCCCTCCCCCCCTTTGGGTCGTAGGTCCCGAACGGAGGATCGTCCTGGTGGGCAAAACCGGCAACGGGAAGAGCGCGACGGGAAACACCATCCTGGGGAGCCGCGTCTTTGAATCGAAGATGGCTCCTGATTCCGTCACCAGATGTTGCCAAAGGAAGGAGACGCAGGTGAATGGCCGGAAGGTGGTGGTGGTCGACACGCCCTGCTTCCTCGACACCGGGCGTCCCAAGTCAGAAACGGCGGCCGAAGTAAAGAAGTGCGTGAAGTTTTGCACCCCGGGCCCGCACGTCATCCTGCAGGTGATGTGCCCGGGCCGTTTCACCCAGGAGGAGCAGGAGGTGGCTGAGCTGATCAAGGAGATCTTCAGCCTCAACGCCAAGAAGTACATGATCCTCCTGTTCACTCGGAAGGACGACCTGGAAGGGAAGACGCTCGACCAGTTCATCTCCGAGGGGGACCGCGCCCTGAAGGAGCAGGTGTACCTGTGTGGGGACCGCTACCTGGCTTTCAACAACAAGGCCAAGGGGGCGGAGCGAGAGGCGCAGGTGGCCCAGCTGATGGAGATGATTGACGGGCTGGTGAAGGAGAACCGGGACGCTCCTTGTTACACGGAGGAGATGCTGGCGGCCGACAAGAAGAACTTCAAGAGCACATGGAACCTTTCCTGGTTGTGTCCTTTCCTTTAAGGAACGCCAGAAAAAATCTCCATGATGGCAACTCTGGAAAGGGTCCCTGCTCTGCTACTCCCTCCCTCCTTCCTTCCTTCCTTCCTTCCTTCCTTCCTTCCTTCCTTCCTTCCTCCCTCTCTCCCTTCCTTACTCTTTCCCCTTCCTTCCTTCCTCTGTCCCCTTCCTTTCTTTCTCCCTCCCTCCCTTTCCTTTTCCTCCATTCCTTCCTCTCCTTCCTTCCTTCCTTTCTCCCTTCCTCCCTCTCTCCCTTCCTTCCATCTTTCCTTCCTTCCTTCCTTCCTTCCTTCCTGTCCCCTTCCTTCCTTTCTTTCTCCCTCCCTCTCCCTTTCCTTTTCCTCCGTTCCTTCCTCTCCTTCCTTCTTTCCGCTGTCTCCCCTTTCTTTCTTTCTTTTTCTTTCTTTCTCTCTCTTTCTTTTTCTTTCTTTTTCTTTCTTTCCTTTCTTTCTTCCTTTTTTCCTTTCTTTTTTTCTCTTTCCTTCCTGTCTGTCTCTGTCTGTCTATCTATCTATCTAATCTATTATTTCTATCTTCTACCAACCCTTCCTTCCTTTTCTTTTTCTTTCTCTTTTTTTCTCTTTTTCTTTCTTTTTCTTATTTTTTCTTTCTTTCTTTCTTTCTTTCTTCCTTTCTTTTTCTTTTTTTCTCTTTTCTGTCTGTCTGTCTATCTATCTGTCTATCTATCTATCTATCTATCTATCTATCTATCTATCTATCTATCTCTATCTAATCTACTATTTCTATCTATCTACCAACTCTTCCTTCCTTTCCTTCCTTCCTTTCTCTTTTTCTTTCTTTCTTTCTTTCTTTTTCTTTCTTTCTTTCTTTCTTTCTTTTTCTTTCTTTCTTTCTTTCTTTCTTACTCGTTCCTTCCTTCCTTCCTGTTTGTCTGTCTGTCTGTCCATCCATCCATCCATCCATCCATCCATCCATCCATCCATCTATCTATCTATCTATCTATCTATCTATCTATCTATCTATCTATCTATCTCTTCTCTTTCTCCAACATGTCCCCCCCGCGTAAAACAGACTTGACCAGAGGGCGTGGTCACTCAGAAAACGACGGAGCCCCGTTGAGTGGGGCATTTAACAGCCATCAATCAACCGATTGACCAGGTGTCAGAAGCCATATATCTCTAAAGTCCCTTATCCTTCCCCCCCCCTCCTCCATTTATTTGCGTCTGCCTTTCCTCCTGACCCGAATCTCACTCTCTTCTCTTCCTGGGTCCTGCCCTATTCCCAGGGGGGGAGGAGGGGGGGGAGGTGCTTGAGGGTTATTGCCTTGATTTCCTCTCTGGCGACGCTGTGTAACCCTTTGCTTTCCTGCGTTATCCTTCTGTGAACTTTCCCATCCCTGAATGTCAGCCAGCAAAGGGAGGGGAAGAAAGGAAGGCAACCTCCGGCAACCCATTTATCTACGGGCTCCCGGGAGAAGGAGAAGGGGCGACGAGAGCGCCAAAACATCGCAGCTACAACTGGAGACGGTCTGGTGTGATCTCCCCTTTCCCCACAAGGGGATTGGGCCGTGTGAACTGACCGGATGAACGATTGGGGTGGGTTTTTTGCTTGGGACACTTTTTACCTATCGATTTGAGAGGGGAAACCCTCGGATCCTGGCTTCTGGGCTTGCTAGCAACGTCTCCTAATAAAAGTTCCTTTGGGATGAAACGGTTTCCACGAGTTCTGCTTTCTCGGGGTGAGGTCTTGAAGTGGGCCCGGACACCGGGACTCGGTGAAGACATAATACACGGGCAATTTGAACAAGTGATTGATTGGGGGACTGTCATCGTTCTCCTCCTCCTCTTCCTCCTCCTCTCCACAAACCTCACTCCCTTCTAACACTGTTGATGTTCCCTAGTTGGGTCATGAAATGTCTACAAGAAAAGTTCAGACAACATCAAGGTTCCCCCCAGTCTTTCCTCCTCCTCCTCCTCCTCCTCCTCCTCCTCCTCCTCCATAAACCCCATTATACGGTACGACGGATGATGTTTCCTAGTTGGGTCACGAAATGTCGGCAAGAAAATAACCAAGTTCAGACAACACCGAGGATGCCCCAATCCTTCCTCCTTCCTCCTCCTCCTCTTTCTCCTTTTTCTCCTCCTCCTCCACTCCGGAAACCTCACTCCCTTCTAGCACTGATGATGTTCCCTGGCTGGGTTACGAAAAGTCTCCAAGAAAATAACCCAGTTCAGACAACAACCCTAACCCTCCTCCTCTCCATAAATTCCATCAACTCCATTCCCTTCTACGGTAGCACTGATGACGTTCCCTAATTGGGTCACGAAACGTCTGCAATAAAACTAACATCTAAGGGGCTTCCACAGAGAAGGGAGGGTCCACCTCTTCCCCAAAGCCCCGGAAGGCAGGAGAAGAAGCAGCGGAGGGGAGCTCCTCAAGGAGAGAAGCAACCTGGAACTATGGAGAAACTTCCAGACAGGGAGGACAGTTAAACCGGTGGAACTGCCTGCCACTAGAAGTTGCGGGGGCTCCATCACTGGAGGTTTTATAAGAAGAGACTGGATGGCCACTTGTCTGAAATGGTGTAGGCTTTCCTGCCTGAAGAGGGGGTTGGGCTAGAAGACCTCCATGGTCCCTTCCCACTTTGTTGCTCTGTCTGTCTGTCTGTCTGTCTCATCTATCTATCTATCTATCTATCTATCTATCTATCTATCTATCTATCTATCTATCTATCTATCTATCTATCTATCTGTCTATCTGTCTATCTGTCTATCATTTCTGTGTATCTATCCATCCATCTATCCATCTATCTATCTGTAATCTATCTATCTATCTATCTATCTATCTATCTATCTATCTATCTATCTATCTATCTATCTATCTATCTATCTATCTATCTATCTATCTATCTATCTATCTTTCTAGACCATCCATCTTTCATCTATCTATCTATCTATCTATCTATCTGTCTGTCTGTCTGTCTGTCTGTCTGTCTGTCTGTCTGTCTATCTATCTATCACCTAATTCATATCTATCTATCTATCTATCTATCTATCTATCTATCTATCTATCTATCTATCTATCTATCTATCAT